AGCCCCCAGTATACTATATAGGGACTGCCGGACCAATAGCCCCGCAGTAGGCGTCCGGCTGCCGGACCAATATCCACTTCCTAAATATATACAAGACAAAAGTGGTAGTTCTTACCATTTTTAAAATAATAATATTGTTCACCTGTAAAATCTAATTTCCTGATAGTTTCTGGTTTGGTTTTGTAATATAATTTATTTACAATAAACCAAATTGAGTAAGTTTGATAATACGGCACAGACATCCCATGCAGCAAGACTGAACTGCTATGGCCCCTGGAAAACAAAAAGAAAAGTGGAAATGAAGTAATGATCAACAGTAAAAATAATAGTAATAAATATAAATAAATAAAAATAAATCAACAATCAGGAAAATGAGAATTAAGCTAACAATGACAGCAAATAAAATCAGAAATAAAAATGAGAGAGTTAAAGTGGACTTAGAAGACAGATGGGAGTAGAGCGGCCTTGTTCCCAGCATTAGTCAAGGGGGATTCATGGCTTCCCTAAATTTTAACAATAAAAGAATATAATCATTTAATTGCACAGTTACTCATGCAGTAGTTTGTTCTATGTCCTTACTAGCTCCATATCAGTCCTTATTCCATGAAAATAGGTGAAGCCCCAGTCCGGGGCAGCCCGGTTTTACCCCGCTATTTCGGTCGTCCCTAAAAAACGGACCGGACCGGACCAACGGACCATGGTCGGCGACAAATCTGTTTTACGGACCCGAATGGTCCGCGACATCTCTATTTTACGGACCACTTTGCCTCACTATACCGGTAATTTTACAGATGCTAAAAATTATAGCTAATGCTTAGGTCAATATTTACTCTTGCTGAAACCCTGCTTCTCGGTTAGATATAAGCCCAAACCTTCAGATATTGTGAATTTAACAAATTTATTTATGAAGGAACTGTGCATGTACAGCCTGAGCCTGGTACTGAACTTGGATGTTGTGCAGTGACTAGTCTACAAATGATTTAAATATCTCTTACTTATTTGTGTCACTGTACAGCTTAATGTGGCAAGCAAATCTTGTTCTGAATTCAGTGGAAAAACGGTTACAAATTAGATATGTAATAATAATTGCAACTTCTTAAATTTGTCAATGACCACATATGTTGGTACAATTATTGTGGTTGATCATTTTATGCATGAATAAATTTAAAAATTTAAGTCTATACTTGACAACATAACATGCAGTGTATGTGAAATGTATGCATGCAATAAAGATGAATACCACTGAAATATGGCCCAGATATTTGTAATGATTATATTCAAGAATTTACATGCACCTTTAATTCATAATAATTATTCAGAATTTTAAATAACAATAACACAAAAACTTTGGTACTTATATCTATCACTGCATAAGTGAACTACACAATCAAAAGATATTACAAGTGTTCATGCAGTTAATTGGTATAATCTGTACTGTCAATACTAATC